ACACTGAATACTAAGTGCTACAGATATGGGACCAGACTGAAATTATACAATGACAAGGGCAGATGTGGCTTGTGGGTTGCTTGTTGCCCACCGAGGGTTCAGTTTCTCCAAAAGATCTGTGAAAAGGTATTACATTAAAGCTCCTAGTCGGGCCTTTGTGTAACGGTACAATGCATTAGTGCAAGCTGCAGTACCTCAAGCACTAGGTGGGTACACAGGTCCCCAGAGGGTTACATAAACAACATACACAGAGCAAGTTTGACGCTTGCATCGCGCTTGGTCGGTTTGAGTGGAAGCGGAGAGAATGTACACGTGTGCGTGTACTTTGTGAATTTTTCATCTCTGTGGCAAAGAGGTTAACCTGATTCCCAAGGCTTTTTTCAAACACACATACAGTACATGAACAGCAGACACAATCCCGAACACACATAAACTAGAGAAGGGGATAGAGATAATGACGTTAGGGCAGACACAGACACGTTCTGGGCTTTGACTGGAGTTCAAGAAGCAAACTTCCTTTTTGAGACAAACAACATGGATGGATGCTCACACATGAAACAGCCGTGTGAAGAAGTCGTGCCAGAAAAAAAAAAACAATTTAAAGCTAAAACATGTATTACACCAGCTTATTATTCTGTAAAAAGACTACACCAACTCTCATAAAACAGTTTATCATGAAAGACATAAGGACAACATTCGGTCTAATTTAGGGTGACATAAAAAACGACAGCTCTGAATCACCTCAGCAACACAAAGTGTCTCATCAAGGCACTCATGGCTCATCAGAGCAACTGTTATAGACCCGTACTTTCCACCCACGCCACAAGCTTCTTCATCACACACACACACACACACACACACACACACACACACACACACACACACACACACACAAACACTCTTCATCATCCAAAGAGCAGATGAAGAAGCACAAACACACCAGACCCCCCAACAGGCACGACCAGCTTCTCCACGGCGCCACAGGCTGAGTCCTCGTCTGTCGCATGACAAAAACTAGCCAAAAAGTTTGCTGTGTGTCACACACACACATACACCAGGTTTACTGCAGTTCATTAGTTTTTTGTTGTAACTGCATTTTAAGGCTGTTGAAAGCTAGATGCGAAGATCAATACGATTTACATGTCTGTACATTAAATATGAAGTTAATGCCAGGAGGTCAGTTTAGTGTAGAACAAAGTTTAGATACATCTTGCTCTGTCCACATTTAATCCGTATAAAAACTAAAGTGTAAAAACAACTCTGATGCAGGCTACCTTTCAAATCCCTGCTAGAAGTCTTAATGCTAAGCTAAGGTAACCAGCTGGGTGTAGCCTCATACTTTACAGATGGATATGAGAGCGTTATCTTTCTGCTTATGCTTGCAGAAGAATGCTTAATCTGTGACATCGGTGACCAAACAGCTACTTTCTCAACGGAAGAAACTACAGTTAGAATTCACATACAATATGTGTACATAACATTGCTTTGTGTTTGTGTTTCAGGTTTTAAAAGACAAGATACTGTAGCTCGTTGAGGCCAGTCTGCTCTAAAACCGAACCTTTTCCTTTGGAACTACTTTCTACCAAAGAAATAGTCCATATGAAAACTTTTTTCTATTTTTAGGACCACAAAAAAAATCCATTCACCTTCATTGTATTAATATGATTAAAAGGTGAATGAGAAAATTAGGAATGTTTTTTTGTAATTTTGGTGGACAAATCCTGTAAATCTAAGATACTGGACTTCCCCACAAGCACCTGAATGCAACACAGGTTGATTTTCTTATCTAAGTGAAATTACTGGGAACCTGTGGCTAAACTGGCCTAAATGGTAAAGTACTCATGACTTGTGTTTTTGTGTGTGTACACAAGTGTGAGGATCTGTGCAGACGTAGATAGAAAACCATGTGAAATGCATCAGTTCTACAGCCCTGAGAGGGACTCCGGGGCCTTTGCTGAGCAGCTGACTAGAGTACATTCAGTCTCATGATGTTTCCTACTTCACTCCAACTTTGACCAAACAGTGGCAGAGTTTAGTGTGATCAAACACATATTTACACTAATGCACACACTGAAAAACGAATTTGGTGCAGGGAATCCTGCAATCCTGTATCCTGTAACACCTGAAACACACACACACACTGCAGAACTGTATTCACCTCCCTCCCCTCCTGCTTCAATCGAATCAACTCTTATCAAATCCAATCATACCCACTGAGGCGTTTCATTTGGAGTCGCGCGGCAGACTAGATTATGCACACAGACGAAGGGGAATGTGTGGAAAGGTGTACGTATGTGTGCGCATGTAAAACAGAGGAAGAGGGTGTTTGTGCATGTCCACGTGTTTGTGCATGTGTGCGCTTCAGCCCATCTGCACTGTCGCTGTTTGTGTGGCTTTGCCCGTCTGTGTAGGCTTAGGTGTACTGCATGTGGATCATTTCATCCATTATTCTGGCCACTGTGAAAAACTGCCAGTCAGACAGACTGGGCTTATGAAACACTTCCACAGCTGTGTTAGGGCAGGCAACACCCCTCTACTTCTCCCTCAATCCATGAAAATCAACAGAATCACTCATAACCTGGTCGTCGTGCTGCTGCTCCTGCAGAGGAAATTTGAAAAACTGTTTTATTTACATGGATAAAATTACAACACATGCCAGATAAACAGCATTAAAAGTGGAGGCAAGCATTAAAAAGTAGCTTTTTGCTTGTGTAGGCGTCACTTGTAGCACAGCAACCAACCGACTACGCAACCAAGCAGTTGCTGCAGGGATTAAATCTGTGCTGGGTTTTTTTTTTTCTGTGTCCATGCGTCTGCAGCCTGAGAGAGAAAGGCTTAACCTTTGTGGCACTGGGGAATTTAAAATAAATTATTGCACATGCCTCAGTTATACAAACACTGTATCAAGGTAAATCTCTCCTTCAGGTTAAAAAACTGTGGCTAGCTCCTTTTCTCCTCCATGTAAGATGGTTTTTGATGATAATTTCCAAGTAAACATCAGCATAATCATCTTGCCAAAAACATTAACCTGGTGGGTGGAGTTGAATTCTACAACCCACCTAACAAGATCACGTATAATGTATCTAAAATATAAGAAATGTGTGACAGGAAATTAAAAACTGATTATAGCCGATGATGTAACTGGAAATGCAGGCTTCCCCTTTAAGGCATTACTTCCTGTTTGCCCAAGAGCAGGTCTAGTGCTCTGACAAAGTACAACACAATAAACAGTATCTGCTATAGACATTTTTAAAACAGTGGGGGCGGTAAGCTTGGCTCTGGGTACAGGTTTCACTCTTGGCCCAGTGCTACTCTGTCCTGTTTGCAGTATCACTTCCTGTGACCCCAATGACATAAGGCTAAAGTTTCCTATGCTGTTTCACCTGATATGCAGTTGTGAGTATTAGGGATGTATCTGAATCAGACTTTTCCAAGGCAGCGCTGAGTTTCCAGTTTAGATATAAATATTTGAATAATCCTGACAGCGCTTTCAGCTGTAGAGTCAATCACAGTGGCCAGCTAGAGTTATTATCAGTATCTCGTTCAAAAAGTAATTTAGCTGACTTTGGTAGCATTCAGCACCGGAGCTGAGCAATGAATCATATCCCAATCGCAATACCTGTTAAAATCATCACAATATGATGGTTTTAGCATAATCTTGCAGCCTTAGTTTATAGCCTGCCATGCTGTAATATTGCATGGCTTTGTGCACAATGGCGCAGCTAAAAGAAGTGCTGTGATTTGACTGACAAATAAGGTTCAGCTCTGGTTCTTCTTAACTGATGATATCATTGAAGTTTAGGTGACAGCCTTCTTAAATCCAGTTACGATCAATGGGAGCCAAACGCCTCTGAGACAGTTTAACTTCAAGGATTTACGTATTTAACCTTTATTTATACAGATAGTTCAGCAGTTTGCTGATTTACAGCAATGCCCTGTTAGCAGTTAAAATAAAAACACAGGAACAGAAAATAATTACATAATTTACTACATCAGTTTTGGACTGGATATTTGTAGTCAGAGCATCCATAATGTTCTGGGCTGCAGTATTATAATACGAATTTAGCTGCATGTTCTAAGCTCAAGTTGTTTTGCATGTCTATAACATGTGTCTGTTTACTATAAGAAACATTTTCTTGGTAAATTAGAAAGTGTCATCTGCTTCAGGTGTTTAATCTGTAAATGGATACCAGGAACAGAGCTGAGATAAGTGGGCGGCAGCAGAAGACAGTGTAAGCGAGGAGCTGTAGCGCAGATTACAGGCAGTGATGTAACTCTGCATAATACCACTGACCCTCCGTAACTCATAGCTTCCTGAGAGCCCGGCGCACACATGGTGAAAGTAAACAAACGCGCAGCAGGGGGAGGCATGGGAAACAAAAGGCATGGATGGTCTGACAGTGACATATCTGTTCTCTCTGGGTTCCATGAGGCATGTCAGAGGATCCACTGCTGCAGGAAGTTATCCTTTCAGAGTGACGGCAAGGCCGCACTGCTGAAAAAGACTGGGTTGTTTTCATGATATCCGAGTCCCTACTTTGAGACCACACGCATTCGTGTTGGTTTTCAGCATGATGTGATTTTAATTACCCAGTCTGTGGTGTTGACATGCATTGTTGTCAGATCAGGCTGATACCAGGCTTTATTAAATATCGGCCTGTCAGTGTCGTCCACAGCTGATGCAATGGAGGTTAGCTTGGGTCTATAATATAAAGGCTTTTTCAGGGACTTTTCTACACTGAAAACACTGCATCCCTGAAAGAAGAAAACAGTGAAAATGTTGTTATTATAATGTGAACAAAAAGGTAATTTGAAAGTAAAAGTAAAAAATAACACTAGTCATAGCTGGCTACAGTAGCTGACCTGTAAACTGTGACGTGCACAGTTTTACTAAATGCTGACCTGCTGCAGTGTGAAAAAAAATTATGCTAGCTAACCAGCTGTCAGCAGGTGCCGAATTAGTGTGCAGACAAACAAAAAATCATATTGCCCAGTCTTACTTTTGCAAGATGACGGCTGATATGCAAAGTTCAGGTATCAGTATCAGAAAGAAAAAAATGGTATTGGAACATCTCTAGTTGTTACTGCTCTTGCCAGTCTGTGATGATTCATACCAAATTCAACCTAAAGGCAGAAGAGAGAAAATAGATCAAATGTTGGTGAGTCCAGTTTTGTCTAAACAAAGTTTCCATTCCTCATTTTGCTGTGGTTGGAGAAGTGACCATACTCAACACCAGACTTTAATTTTGGGTAAACTTGAGAGTGAATTTATGGGTTTCAGTTTGTGGTAAAGAAAGGCTCTTCCTCACATACTAAAAATAACATCCTGTTAAGAGTTTGGTTGTTAGGCAGACAACAGTACAGCTACAAATTGTTTGTTCTGGTAAAGTGATTTAATCTATTCTGTTCTACTGTCTGTTGTCTTGAATGTGTGACAATGAACATCTTGCTCACAAGGGAGTCGTGAAAGAAAAAAAAACAAACTGGCATGTTTTTCATTTGTTTTGATTGTTTCAAGTTCCACCAGTTTAACGCTGATCTTCCCGAAAACTGTGTTTGACTCAGCGCCTGCAAACAGTCAACCACAAACATTCCCCTGGCGGCAGCGGGGGGACAACCGACACCACCGACACACACAGAGAGGAAGTGAACCCGAGAGAGGAAGCACAATTCTGCTGCGCTACCCAGTTCTTTTTTTCTCCGTCCGAGAAGACAGATCGATATGTATCAGAGAGGAGAGGAGACCGGCTCCCAAAAAGCTGAGTCAAGGCACACACACACACACACACACACACACACACACACACACACACACACACACACACACCTACACTCCTGTGCTTGTAGACTTGTGAGGACGCTAACCCCTTACCATCACAACTACTTGTTAACCCCCCTCCCTCTAAAACTAACCATGTCTTAACCATCAAATGAACTTTGAGGAAGTCCCCACTTTTCAAACATGTCCCCATAAACCTGCAAGAGTACTCATGCACACACTGAATGCACAGATTACGCTTTGCTGTTGCTAGCACTTTCTGAAAGACTGTAAACCTGAATAGAATTCATGACCCCTTTCTGAAACTTTAAGGAAATTACAGTTACTTTTTCAATGAAATAAAGTTGAGTCTTCACTATTCTGCTGTACTGAGATTGTTTATTGCTTGCTCTCTGTGGTGGGATAATATGACTGGAATGCAGCCTCACAGGAAATGGACTGACAACTGTCATGCTGTACAAGTGTCACACACTATGAAGTGTTTGTGTACAGTATGTGCATGTATGGACTGTAAATGTGTGTCACATTCAGAAAAGGATGGGCATTGATAAAATGTATGCACAGCATGTAAATGGTTTAAAGTTAAAAAATACAATTAGTCCATCTTTTTTTTTTTTTTTAGCAGTAATGCAAAACATTGTCTAGTTCCAGCTTCTCAGATGTGATGATTTAGTGTTTTTCTTTGTCTTGTGTTAATGTCTCCGCTGGTCCTACCAAACAAGGAATTTGATGACGTAACCTTGGGTTCTGTGAAATTGTGATTTTTCTCCATTTTATGACACTGACGCCAATGGGAAATTAATCATCAGATTACTCAATGCTGAAAATAATCCGTAGTTGCAGCGCTACTTTAATGACTTTTGCTGTTTTACCTTTACTGCTGCCATTCCATTTATTGCCCAATTATGAATTCCAATAAATGTATCCTTATTTTAGGCAAAAACAAAAGCTATTGAACTTATTTTCTCCTTTAATATATTGTCTTCATGTATTTTGCCCCTCGTGTTTCCCTCTTTGCACTTTTAGTTCCCTTGTTGTTCAAAGGTGCATCACCAAAAGACCTAAATTCTACGTTGAGTCTTACAAGAATACTTTTGTGAAACTATCAGAGTATTAAAACGACACAATACAGGGTTAGCATGTGATATAAAGCAGCTATCGGAGAGGGAGAGAAGTGCTTGTCACCCCCACCCCTCCCAGCACACATACACACTGGCAGGCCAGACAAATCCATTCATAAAAGACCCACCCTTTCCCTATCCGCTCACACACACACACACACACACACACACACACACACACACACACACACAGTCATCCGGGACAGTCACAGGTGGTCGCCACTGGTTTATCATCGCCTGTTTCCTCGGACTTTGTGACTCTCTGAATTTTGTGTCCAGATAATCTGCTCCAAAAGAACACTAATAAAAACATCACAGACAATTTAGGGAACAAATCTCTAATTTATAAAACTGTTCTCATACAGTAGGAGAACAGCTAGCGTCAATAATATCACCAAATCAAGTCTCTATGAGAGTATTATGGGAATATTGGCTGGCAAGTAATGAAAAGGACATTGGATAGTGAATGCCTAAAGCGACACTAAACCCAATCCAATTAGTTTAATCAATGGTGTGTTAAATGACCTCTTGAGAATGGGAAATTCTCAAACTTGCCACTTAACAGTCAAGTTCATGACTGAGTCATGTCAAGTCAACAGGGCATTGCACATTTCACATGGCTTGTTAGTTCATGATATATTCTACAGATACAAAAGTGTCCATGAAATGTTTCTACTTTAAAATAGCTCATTTATTTTTTGTTTGTTTCATTTTTAAACAATTTTGGCCAAATCCACTGTTGATAACAGGAAGTGTCCCACTGTCTGTGTTTCTTCTGTAAAATATGATTTAGATTTATATCCCCATAAGGGCCATAAACGCCCCAATTCCCCCCTCGCACCCCACTGTGCAGCTGACCCATGTGATGTCATGAAACCTGCCGGAAAACTTAATTTTACAGGGAGGCTGTGAAGCACTCTCTCACACAGCCATCATGTAACGGTATGCGAGGAAATAAATGATCCATATCCATGAATGGAGAGGGCTGATTGACTCCCCAGCACGGGCCAATTCATGAGCTACACCCTCGGAGACACTGGTCTTAAAGAAATAACGGTTCGCATGTGAGGAATGCAGAAAAGAGAGACGTACTCACCCCGAGCGCAGTAAAAAAATGAGTCAGCTAGAGACAGGGAGAGAGATGAGGGAGTCTGCAGGGGAAGATAATCTCCTCTGGATCTCACAGAAAAGCAGCTCTGTAGGAAATTTGAGTTTCGGCCTGAAGGAGAGGACAGACGTGCTGCAGGACAAAAAAAAAAAAAAAAAGAGGAAAAAGAAAGTCCACTCCGTTAGTCTCTCGGTGGGTTCGGTTCACTTTTGCGGTTTCAAGTCGATTAGTGGTGGATTTTGTGTCTGTGTCATGAGAGTGTGGTAAGGCGGCCGTGAGTCACTGGAAATAATAAAAGAGAAACGCCGGGTTCAAGATGACCGTGATTCCGCTCTCTGTGCGTCCGCTCCGCTGTGCGCTGCTCTGTCACCGGCAGCTGAAACGTGGAAACGCCTTTTCCTCTCTCTCTCTCTCTCTCTCTCTCTCTCTCTCTCTCTCTCTCTCTCGGTCACGGTTAAGCACGCTGTCTGATTCGTCCAGAGATCGTCTGTACACGATGTCTCACTCGCTATGAAAAAAAACACACAATGAACGGATGGAAAAGGTGGAAATGGAGGCCAAAAGTGTGATTCAAATTCAAATAATTTTATATGTTTTGTTAAATACTATGACGGAGTATTACGGCCAGACTTTTTTGGGGGTAAATTACGAGAATAAAGTCATAATATTACGAGAATAAAGTCATAATATTACTAGAATAAAGTCATAATATTACTAGAATAAAGTCATAATATTACTAGAATAAAGTCATAATATTAGGTCTACGTGAATAAAGTCATAATATTACTAGAATAAAGTCATAATATTAGGTCTACGAGAATAAAGTCGTAACATTACGAAAAAATCGTAAATTACTAAATAAAGTCATAATATTAGGTCTACGAGAATAAAGTCGTAACATTACGAGAATAAAGTCGTAATATTACTAGAATAAAGTCATAATATTAGGTCTATGAGAATAAAGTCGTAACATTACGAGAATAAAGTCATTTTATGAGAACTCTTACAAGAAGGAGCAGTCTTCCCCCTGTGTTAAAATGAGGATTGTTGAGAATCTTGTGAAGTTATACTTTGGTATCGGTTTCACAAATAAGGAAATACTTAATCTTTTGGCATATCAGCATCAAATTATTATCAGTATCAGGACTTTGCAACGATTGTGCAAACGACGGTGTCTATTTCGAAGAAAGAACCACACAGACTTGGAAGAAATTGCTTCTTTTGTACATTATCCTCGTAATATTACGACTTTATTCTCATAATATTACGACTTTATTCTAAATAAAATCATTTTTTTTCTCTTAGTTTGGCCCTAATACTCCGTCGTAAAATACACCATATGTGCATATGCATAAGTTATAATGTGAAAGAAAAAATAGACCTGATCTGAAAGGGACCAAGTTATGCCTAATCCAGCAGCTACAGAGCCTCATTTTCCCTAGGACCACAAGGGGCCCAAAAAGCCAAAGTTTTACTGATTTATCTCAGATTTTTCAGGGAATTTGCAACCACTAAAGTGCAATATGAATCAAGCATTGTTAAATTTTGTGGCACTGTCTTGTAGAGGGACAGTGTCACCGCAAACATAGGAGTAGGTTGATTGTGCAACTCTGTTACTATGAACCAAGACCTTTAATTCACACAGGAAAAGTGACACAATAGAAAAAATAATAATAATAAAGATTTTCTTGACTCTGGCAACTCAAAGCGTCACAAAAGACAATGCATACAATGTGTACCAGCCTATACAAATGATCACTGTTTTGATGTACGCTGTTTTACCACCAAACACTTTTGATTTAATTATTTATCCAAACTTCTAAACTTCTAAAACTAACATACTGACCTAAAGTTATGAATAATGTTTTATCATTCATACATTTTTGCATTCAGCTTTGCAGGGTTGAGGGTGTCCCAGCATGCATTCGGGGGCCAGTAGGAAAACATCCTTAACATGTTTCCAGTGCACCTCAGAAAGTCAAATACATCTGTATTCACATCAAATGCATTAACATTGAAAATGTTGGCCTATCACATTTTATCCAAGGATTTTAAAAACACTTGGTCCTCATAAAAACACACAGAGTGAGAGCTCTTTCTGTTCTCCTCCCTTCTGATTCTACTTTTTCTTAGACACTGACACCCACACACAATTGCACACACACATTTTTCAAAGCTGATGTCAGCTATCCGGTCGGCAAATCCCTCCTCCTGTTTCTTTCTCTCCATCACAACACGATCCAAAACACCACCACCACCACCACACACACACACACACACACACACACACACACACACACACACACACCACACACACCCACCCCGTCCACCCTCCAACCTCATCTCCATTCTTTTTAAAAGTGACAGTGAGCCAACGGGAGCTGTGCTGCTGGGTGTTGATCCCTCAGATGAAGTTGACCTGTACGGTCATTAAAATGGATACAAGTGGGGGAAACATGATGTTTAAGAGCTCACATGAGTATTTCTGATTTCTAAGAGATACAGTACAAAACATCCAGCCCACAGTCAGTCATCTTAGAGATGACCAAAATGTAAAGATGTTGCTTTGAGAAGTACGTTTCTAAACTCTGGAATACAGTTGAGAATTGCACTTTTGGGGCTACAGTTTTACAGTTTTCATGTCGACGAAAGACACTTTTCTTCTTATTATTTCTTGCATTGTATATTGTGGCATACATGCAATAGAAACCAAACTGTGGTTGAAATAGTCTAACTGAAGACCATCTGACATCCTTCTTAAGCAAACATAGCATGCTGAGGTTTTCACTGTTGACTGTAAATATACTACTTACCTACTTCCTCTTTGATTTCATCTGCAAAAGTCTTTAGAAATGCTCATATGTGGGTGTAAATTGCACAGCCGGTTTAGCTCTTGTGAACAGTCTGTAAGTGTAACTTAAATCCCCGAACGTTCACAGGTGTTACAGAACAAAGTGGCCACAACCACACATGAAGCTACTGAGAGAAATGGTTTGGCTTGCAGCTACATAGGGCTAATGACTTCTAATGGTTTCACAAACCTCCGGTGTGCGTGAAAGTGTGTTTTCCTTCCATTTGTAAGTAGACCGTAGAAAAGTGTTGCTAAAGTCAGAAGATCCAAACAGATAACAGAGTAAAGAAGAGTGAGTTGAAGTCTTTCTGACCTTTTATATTATATTTATAAGTTTTTACTTTCCCTTTCATTTTGATCTGGGATGTGCAGTAGTGCAAGGTTTTAAAATGATTCACTCCGAAAAACTATTTTGCGGTCAGGAAACTTCCTAAATTTGTTGTGCATCTCATGACCTTATGTCTTTCAAACTGCTTCAAGTTTAGTAGGTCTTTAACTCATGACGAGGCGCATCTTCAAATCTTCGGACATGAATAAGACTGTTGTTGTAAGGCCTGTGACCCTGAGGCAAGGGTGAAGTCCCCTTTTTAACAGACGCACAAGCATACGTGCGGGCATAAACCCACGTGAATGCAGAAAGACACATCCTTAAACACACTGCTGTTCAGAAAGAATCCAACCCTTTTGACTTTTATGTGACCATATTTGATTTTATTTGGCAAACATAGCAGACTAGTTTACTGAGTTTTGATGAACATTAATTAAAGTCACACATTTCCTGCTTCACAAAATGTGAGAATTTGCTGCATTTATCAATTGTATATCATCCTAAATTCAATGTTTTAGGGATTTTAGACAGCTGGTGGGTAAAAACAAGTAATTTGAAGATGTCTATGGAGCCCAGAAACTGACGTAATGTAATAAAAAGTTACCCCTTGTCATGACGTCAGGAAGCATTTGGCTTAAACGTCAACTGGAAAGATGAAAAATTGTAGCAGATGAAAACATCAGATCTGGAATGATGAGGAGACTGTAACCTTAGTAAAATGAATACATAGACTAAATGCCATTATTCTACTGTGTTATCTATATGTTTTTCACCGTTTAGGTTTTACTGGTGTTCATTTAACAAAGACATCTCGTGCACCCTCTCCTGCGACTGTCAAATGGCATTCTGCAAGAAAATTAACACCCCAGCTCCTAACAACCACATCATTGATACACAGTTTCCTTTGGCAGGTTTTCTCAACACTCAGTTTGTGCTATATTTAGATGGAAAACTACTTAATGATAATGGTTTGAAGATCTGTTGGTGTTGAAGACTTCTACTGAATACCACTCCACACACTCTTGTATAATAAATAATCAGACAGCATTGTGCTCCAGTTATATTCCCCACAGTAACTGTATTTATATTCTGTCGTTTATTTTGTGATATACAGTTGTGTTGGGCTACATGCATACTCGTAGAACTAGAGTTACATACAGGCAACTTCTGTTTCGCCTTGTGTCATTGCTGTTTACTCATTACTGCCGTTTTAATGTTCTTTCATTCATTGTAAGTCCTTTTCCATCCACTTGTTTGAAACCGCAAATTGAAAATGTCCATAAAGCACCTCTAATCCAAATCCAAATAAAGTATCAATGAAAAGTTTTTAAGCTTTGCTGAGGTGGAAAAGTTTGTGCATCAGTTCAAAACAAAATGCAACAAAGTGCCATGGAAACAGACTCAGTGACAAATGACTTACAGGAAGCAGACAAAAACATCAGCTGTGTGTGGACATTTGAAAAATTAGAAAAGGTATCCAATTAAATTTTGTGAATGTCGCTGAACATAATGATCACAATGATCATTGCAGCTGTTAAAACAAGGTCTTCACACAGTCTGTATCCTCCACCTGTGACCAGCTAAATGAAATGGAGTCCTCTCACCGGCTGGTTTCACTGAAACAATAGGCATATTGTCGTTAATGTATGCAAATAAGCACACAGTCATTTGCATTGGAGCAACAGAAAATGCTGTTCGGACTCACAATGACACAAATACACACCCATCCACACTTACCTACCTATGAAAATCAAAAATGGATGCAAATTATTATTTTTCTTTTTCATGGCTTTAGTTATATAAATGTAAATCACCTGTTGTTTAGGGTTAACATCCTTTTTTATGATTAATAAGGAATAATGAAATGATTTCGTATCAACATTGGCACAAACAAAACCACATATGTCAGTACCAATAATGAAGTGAAAAACAACCTATTTTTCCAACTCATACTTCACATGTCAGATATTCAAATAGCTCTCAGTGGGTGACGTCTCAGTCAGTTGATGATCTTTGGTTGCCTGGGGGGCCATATGTTGATTAGCATGCTGGGATTTATGGAAATGTTCTCAACATTACAGACGTTCAAGAGCTCACCAAGTTTGTTTTGTCACTGAGAACAATGAATAAACACAGTATGTTCTGGCTCTGTAAGAGTTATCATATTGTATTAAAATGTTCAACACATACATATAAGAAAATATATATTTCTAACTT